AAGAAACTTTTTTTGAACATAATCTATCCTATTTATATAGGTAACAGTTATAGTAGGGATTCCATATTAGGGATGCATACTCTAACTTGGATCTGATATAAGCATAATACTCGTACAAGGTTCTTAGTGCTGTCAAATCATTGATTAGCTTACAGTTTCTAGTGAGAAAACCTAAGGCCCTATTAGCATTATTCACAGTATTATCTATATGATAGTCAAAACTAAGCCTAGTATCAAACATAACACCCAAATCATGAACAGTATCAACTCGAGTGACTTCAATTCCCCCAATACTGTAAGCATATTCTATTTTACGTAGCTTTCGGGATAAAGTAACCACCTTGCATTTAGCAATATTCAAATGTAACCTGTTTAGCATACACCAATCTTACAAACGGCAAAGTTGCGTTTGTAAATACTCACAATCTCTTCCACTATTAATATTAACATACAGTTTCAATTCATCAGCAAATACCAGTTTACCACAATCAATATAATCACATACATCATTCACAAAGATCAAAAATAATAAGGGGCCCAAAACCAAATGAACCCAGCTTAGCAATGAGCACCCTATGATCAACCTTATCGCAGGCTTTGGAAAAGTCAATGTAAACTGCATCCAACTGTCCCTGACTATCTAGAACATTCAAAGCTAACTGAGTGAATACTGCCAGATTGGTGACAGTTGACTTACCACACATTAACTCATGCTGGAGCTCGGATTTATTTCAAATAACTTGGCAAAATTATTCAATATTGAGATCGATCTATAGTCCTCAATTGAATCACGGTCACCCGCTTTGTAAATAGGACAAACCCTGGTTTCCTTCCATTTATCTGGGAATATAATATGAGATTAAAAAGAATAACCAGAGCATCTACTGTACCAAGCGCACAATCCTTGACTAGGAAAGAGGGGAGCTTATCTGGCCCTGAGGTCATCTTGGACTTCAGGTTTTTTGCTGCATCACATATTTCGTTTTCAGTTATACTCTCCTGAGTTAAGTTGACAAAACATTGGATGTTAAAAGATAAGTGTGTATATGTTCAAAGTGATCGGTGACTATAATATATGAGAAATAGACTCCAGTTGTAGTGCTTCTGTGCTTTAAAAATAAACTAAGAAGTGTGACTGTGGCTGTTCGCGCCTCAGAACGCTAAGGATTTCAACTATTGAAAACGTGCAAATTCAGGTTGTATTTTTCTTTTTTCATTTATCAAATATTTGACGCAGACAATATGCCTCGTTGTTGCTGTGTTCCTTTATGCAATGCAAACTATAATTCTGCTTTGAAAACAGAAAGCTATGTTTCAACTTTTCGCTTCCCAAATACCGAAAGTCTGAAAAACAAATGGCTTATGGCAATTCCCAGAAAAAATTGGACACCTTCAAAATATTCAGCTGTGTGCAGTCGTCATTTTAGAGAATCGGATATCATCAGGACAGAAAATATAGTTTTGGCGGATGGAACAGTCCAAAATAATATACCTTTGAAATATCCAAAATTGAAAGAAAATGCTCTTCCCTCCATTCTCCCAAACTTGCCATCATATCTTTCAAAAACTGAAGCACCCAAAAGAACTGACCCAATGCAAAGAAAACAAAAATTAATTGAGAAACATGAAAAAGCTATCCAGAATTTCGATGATATGGATAAGATCAAAGAATTACATTCTTCATTTTCAAAAATTAAAGCCTCACAGAAATGGAATAATAAATTATCTGATGGAAAGCTATATTTTTATAAATTGGATTTTGAAAATGATATCTTAACTTTGAATACACAGATTATAGTTGATGGTCAGATGGAAGTTCAGGTTGTTCATAAAGGATGTAAGCTTTCTTTTAGTGACTTGAAGTGGGTTTTGCCATATGATCTCAAAATTACCAGATGGTCCCAATTAGAAAACCTGCTACATAGGTATTTTTTTCTATTTTTCTGAGAACCAACACAAAAACTCTGTTGAAGTTTGCATCATGAATGCATTGGAACAACTTGACACAGCGATTTCCATAATTAATAATGACTCAGTTATGTTTCCATATACAAAAAATCTCTAGAGATTATTGCTGATCAGCTGAGACAAATTCAAAACAGGAAAAACAGATATGCATCACTTTCAATAATAATGGCTTTTACGTTTTATAACCACTCATCATCAACATATAATTTAATTAAAAGATTTTTTATTTTGCCAAGTAAGCGATACTTACAACATATCTCCTCAAGAATGGATATATCTCCAAAAAATGATAGGAATAATAAACACTACCTTTCGAATATAGCAATTAAATTAGCTCCAAGAGAAAAAATTGTAATTTTGATGATCGATGAAATTTATATAACATCTAGGCTGGACTATCGCTCACAAAACATTGTTGGGTATGCCTCAAATAAAAATGACATGGATAAAACTGTTTTAGCCTTCATGCTATCTTCAGCATTTGGAAACATAACAGAAATTATCAAATTACTACCAGTTTCAAATCTAACAGGTGATGAAATGACACCTTTGGTTGAACATGTGATAAATTTAATTCAAAAATGTGGATTTGAAGTTATTTGTGTTGATACTGATAATCACCGAATTAATAGAGCAATGTTCAGGAAATTAGCAAAGGATTCATCAGAAAATTATTCTATCGTCCACGTAATCCTGATAAGAACATATATTTAACTTATCATGTTGTGCATATTTTCAAGAGTATCACTAATAATTGGATTAATTTAAAAAACCTAGACAAAACTTTTGTATATCCTAATTTTGACAATAATGATATTATTCAGTATGCTAAATTTGAAAACATTCATGCTGTATATCAATTGGAAAAAGAAGCTGTAGTTAAGAAAGCATATAAATTAAATTATAAAACATTGCATCCAAATTCATTTGAAAGGCAAAATGTAAATTTTGTAGATAATTTATTCCATCACTCAACAATAGCTGCTATGAAAGAATTAAAGTTTAATGATGCTGCACACTTTTTGGAAATAATCAGGAATTGGTGGGATATTGTCAGTAATACAAGTGTATAAAAAACAAATTTGTAAGCCTATTACCAATAAATATGATTATAGAGAACAATTTTTAAAAAAATTCCTGATATGGTTAGAAAAATGGCATAATCTAGAGAATAATAATGGACACCTGACACCAGAAACGTATACAGCTCTATATCAAAGCACGCTGACTCTACTTAATATAATTGAATACACATTTAATCAATTTGACATTGAGTATGTATTGCCTGGAAAATTCACCACTGATAATTTAGAAAAACGATTTGGCAATTATATTCTTTTATGTGGCTGCAATTACAATGTGTCATATGATGAAATTTTAAATGCTGAAAAGAAAATACGGCTGAAGCATATTTTCAATGAAAAGAAATCGTCATTTTCTTTAGCAGAAATTAAAACAAGGTTCCAAAACTGCTTAGAAACTCAAGAAAATTTTGATTTCTTGGATACCAAACAAAATCCTGAAGTTTTGGATATATTCAATGAGGTATTTGAGACAAATTACTTAGCCAATTGTGACATAGAGGATAGTACTAAGACTTATATATCTGGATATGCTTCACACGCTATCTCTAAAAACCTAAACTGCGAGATATGCAAATCGCTAATAGTTAAAGAAAAAGGTTCATTAACAACAAATGTTTATTTTGATCATTTGCAAAGAGGAGGACTGTCAATTCCAACCAGTTATGTACCAATCATATTCTACCATATGTATGCCATTTTTGAATCTATTATTAATGTAGATAGATTGGAAATTTTCTTCTTGAAAAGCAATAATCAAAAATTTATTTTGTGTCAGTTAACCTTGCTCAGCATTCAATCTGACTTTATATACAGTGAATTTTCTTTAACTTGCATCTGTGGCCGCAATTATGCAGATATTTTATCTAAGCTTTTGTCTATTTTTTCAAACATAATTTTGAAAGATTATGTAAAATTGAAAAATAACAGTAAAACTGAAAGTAAATGTATTAAAAACAAACAGGTAATTCCACATTTCCAAGCTGGGCCTGTTGGAACACAGTGTGCTGACACCAAAAAACGTAAACTAAATACTTTTAATTAGGTTAACTGCATTAGCGACTCATATATATCATGATTATTTCGTATTTTTAAATTTTTTAGAGCTATTTCATATTCAGACGATTTGTATCGAATCGAACTGTCCTCTTTTCCAAAATTAAATTTAGTTCTTGACCGTTACACGGAGACGGAGCACACAGCCGCTGGCGGCCGACGTTCACAGGTAGCACTACCATGCCGTCCGAGCGCGGTGTTGCCTTTCTTTCATCACGGCTCGTAGTTGACGTCGGCTGTGATATAAATGACCAAAAAGAAGCGGGGATATTTCTCACCGACTCTTGAACTTCTTGCAAATAGCTTTCGTACGCAACCTTTAATTGTGATTTGATAAGTGATCTTAGTCTAATGAACTCGTTTCTGTAAAAATTGTCTTTAGTTTGTTTCCATTTACGATGGTTTCTTGCCTCATCTTTTATGTTCTTAATTATTAACGAATTATACCATTGGAAACTTCCGCTTGGAGTTTTTGAATAATGGTACATGCTTATCCAAGGTTCCATAAAACTTTTTATAAAACTCGTCAATTGCTTTATTAACATCGTCCTGAAATGCTTTCAAAAATGACCAATCAATAATAGTTAACTCATTGTACTCGTATAATGCGACAAAGTCGGCTTTTTTTAAATTATGTACTTTAGAATGCTTATTGATGCCAAATAATGGTTCCTGATTATTAATATGAGGAAGCTTAATGATAAGAGCCGGATGATGATCATCAGGTTGCACTAGAGGAATATGGTCATGTAATCATGAGTGCTAAAATCTCCCCATACGAAGGGAAAAAAATGTATAGCTATTAGGCTATTCTGTTTTTAAATGTTTAGCCATAAATCCGGGTAATCCAAAGTTTTTGTCATATCCTACAGCTCAGTATGGTAACTGAGCACAATCCACGTCAGTACAGTCCGATTCCGTTGCTGCTAACCGTGTTGTGTGTGGTTATGTGCCAGACTGTGCAGACGTTAAGTCATTAGTAGAGAATTCTGGAAACCAGATTTTTTCGATTTTTAATCTCTGTATGTATCCGAAAGTCTGCCAAATCCTCGTTGAAGCGCTGCAAACCGAACTCTATCGCCAGAACGTTCTACGTTCAGCGCGATCTCCTTCCACCATAGTTTATTTACCACAACGCGCGGACTATTCCGCAGACCATCGCCAAGAACCACAACACGAACCGGTCAAGCAGTCGCGAACAAACTTTCACTCAGTGAACATTTACTTAGGGTGATCAGGATGTTGTGTTGTAGACGCAGTGACGTAAGTTTTACGTGATTTTGTTAATTTGTCGTTTGGTTTGGGTACGCTTTATCATTTACAAAAATGCAAAATGAAAATGTAAGTGCCAATCTGATTCAAATAGCTACGCGCCCTTTTCCTTTCGTGCGCGAACCGTGCTTCCATATTTTCGGAAATCTATGAAACTTCCATTAGATATTTAATCAAGGTATCTTATATTCGTCTTTATTTATTTCTCGGGATACCAGTTAGTTAAGGTATAACGCAAAAATGATTCAGGAGAGTAACTTAATAATAATTTAACATAACTTATGTATGCAAATATCTTTTTCAAAGCTTGAAAAGTACCAAGAATTAAGAAATTATGTTAGGTTTACAAGAAGTTTTTTTTAAATTACATAATGAAGGAACAAAAAAGATTTCATGAAATGTATATTAGGATAAACTTGTTATTTTCCGTAATAACGAATTGCAGAATATTTCCAATCTGTCTTATAATCCAATAGATATGAATCATATAAGTAAAGAAAAATAAACAGGTATTACGAAAACTTAAATAAAATCGATATTACAGTAAAAGCTCCCAGTGATTGAGGAGACTACGTGTTTTGGGGTTTATTCAAGTTGGAAGGCCTTGATTGTTGAAAAGCGGTGGGGTGATTGAAAAATAAAAGGAAAATAAAAAAGGTGTGAATCTTTGTAATGATACACACATTTCCTGACCTATATTTATGAAAGCTTTTCCTTGGAATCGGCAAAGAAGTTTGGTACTTTAGGTACTTTTTTAACACCATGTATATACAAACTCGATCTTGCTTTCCATCAGAGAAGATTTCTGATGACGAACTCTCTTTCGTTTGCATTTTTATAACCGCATCTCAATAAAAGTTTCTCGTACAAAATGTGTTCGCATTTATACGTTAAGTTTGACAACATCGTGTCACATGTTTTTTTTTTTTTAGTTTAGAACATTTGGATCAGTCTAAGCCATATTGCTCTCTAGTTAGGTTATCTTATTTCTTTAGTCACACACGCATTTTGTTTTTTCACGGTTTTAATTATTTTTGGATGTAAGTAGACGAGTAACCTATATCGGAAAGGTTTAAAAATATTATCAATCATGTGTCCTCTACAAGTAAAGTTCTACCTACTGGTATTTTCCATTTAAATTCATAGTGTGACCCATCGGCGGGGCCAGGAAAATTATCTAAAAGGGTAATTTGATGGTTAGGCAAGATAAAACGTATTTTAAATATACTAAGTGACATATAAATCCGAACACCCAGTTTAAATGGTTTTATTTTAATAAAATTTTGTATAAGTACTTAATGAAGCATAATAAGTAAATTGTAAAAATTTCAAAATGATTGCACTGCTTTAAAGCCCTTTGACCTTTAATAATGTGTGGATGCACCCTGATGTACTACGCATTCTCCAACGCGCCTAGGCATGCTTCTGATCAGGTGGTCAATGTCCTCCTGTGGTATCTCATTCCAGGCAACCAACAACTCCTCTCGAAGTGCTTCTAGAGTCTGAGGAGGACGTTGCAAATTGAGCAATCTCCTACCCATCATATCCCACACGTGCTCAATTGGGGATAAGTCCGGAGATCTTGGTGGCCATGGTAACAATGTGACATCATTATGTTGAAAGAAGTCTATTGTGACTCTTGCAACATGTGGTCGGGCATTATCTTGTTGGAAAGTTGGATCTGCCAGGGTGTCAAGATAGGGTAAAAGGTGGGGTTCTAGAACTTCGTGGATATAACGCTGCGCGTTCATGTTACCTCTGATGAAGATTAAAGGTGACCTGGAACCATAAGCTATAACACCCCAAACCATAACTCCAACAGTGTGATGAACATGTCTTTCAACAAAAAACTGTGGATTCCTCCTTTCACCACGTCGCCTTCTAACCCTGGCACGACCATCGTGCATGCCTAAACAAAATCGAGACTCGTCACTAAAGACAATACTGTTCCATTCCTGATCCCAGAGTGACCGTTGTCTGCACCACTCAAGGCGATTACGTCGGTGTTCTCGAGTTAAAGGGAGGACCCAGTGTGGCCGGTATGAAAACAAGCCAAAACTTCTCATTCGTTGGTAAACACTTCGCATGCCAATAGGTCTTCCGTGTTCTGCAAACCATTCATTTGCAATGGACCTGGTAGTGGAGAAACGGTCCCTTAAGGCCAATAATCTTAGGCGGCGATCTTCACGGTCACGCGTACGGCCTTGTCGAAGCCATGCCTGACAACACCTAACCACAGTGTCTACACTTCTTTGCACTCTAACTGCAATTGCCCGAAAAGAAAGTCCAGCTTCCCGAAGTCCCACTATACAGCCTCTATCAAACTCACTAAGTTGACGAAATCGTACAGGTCTCCGTACTCTAGGCATCGTAACCGATCGTAAAGGATGTCAAGAACCAAAATCCGCCAACGTTGATTCTTTAATGCGGCTGAAATATTCATTTTTAGAGCGTTAGTGAATTGAAAAAAGCAGTATAAAAATCGGAATGTCCAACTGATAAGGCTGAAAATTTTTTCACTGGTTATTTACAGTAAGATAAATACATTCACCAACTTTTATTAAAATAAAACCATTTAAACTGGGTGTTCGGATTTATATGTCACTTAGTATATCTTAAATAATCTCGGAAATAATGCTGTTCTATTGTCGTCAGTCATCGAAACTGGGCATTTAATAAAAACGCGTTACAGATGATGCTTCAAGCAAAACAAGTTAATCACATTTTTTCCAGTTTTATAACCTTGTAATTTTTATGCCTTTTCTCAGTTGTGATCCGGTTAAAAAGTTCAATCGATACCTAATGACTACTGCTCTGACTTTGTATATAATTGCACCTAAACAATCATACCAGAATGTTTTATACCTCAACAAACACATGATCCAAATGCAGATTTCCAAAGTTTCGATAATAGAGACGTTATTAGAGTTGCTTATCAGCAGCCTGCAGCAAATACGTTTAATACTAGTACAAAGGTGGGACTTTTTGCATAATTTTGGCCAGCATCTCAACCAAAAAATATGTCTTGAAAATGGTAACGTATACTTTTGCCTGTAGTATAAGGTCACGTAAATACGAAGACATCCTGGGGTTCATACATATTAACAGAGTATAGGGTACTTGAAAGGAAGCTCTGCTTGACTCTCCGTAGTAACAAGATGCGTCAGCACTTTACTATTCAAATTAAGGATATTTTATTGGGATGTTAGTTAAAATTAAGGCTAAATGATACTTTTGCGTCTTTTTTTAATGTCGAACTTTCTAAACAGCATCAATTCGAACCATTGATTCTCCTGTTTCCTAACTTATGCTCCACATCTTTCCAATCGAAATCAATAACAGCAATCCAAATCGAATGTTACTGGACCGACCCGCATCGAAGAATTCATTGAAAAAACTAGGCGTGAGTGTACAGCCGTGACTTCACCATAAATTGCGATTTTTTTTATGGCACCTTGGCAGACTACGAAACAATTGCACGCCGTAGTAGAAGAAACAACTAAATATGCAAGGCCGACTCGATATAAGCCGTTCATTTGTATTCAAGAGGTGTACTTTAATAAAAATTACATAAAGCTTTTTTATTATGGCAGCTACAGATTCGGATCGTCAATATTTGTATTTGCAAGGAATATTCTATTGCTCTAATCACTTATTCCCAGTAAATGTTTTTTCAGGTCAATGCTGGCGTTTTGGAAAAATTAATGTTGGTTTTGGGGACGGCAGTAGCTGTACATCTATGGGTGATTCCATCTTAACGTGCAATATTGCGTTCACACCTATTTTTTCAATACGACTAAATAAGACCTAATCATCGATTGATTTAAAATTGGCACAGCAGGATGAAGTAAAATTTCTCGCAAATTGTCGAGCACACAATCACGCATAACAGACTTTGCACAAAGTACACTCTTTTTCCGTACCGAGATGCAGATGTTTCAACAAACATTGACCACCTGATCAGAAGCATGCCTAGGCGCGTTGGAGAATGCGTAGCACATCAGGGTGCATCCACACATTATTAAAGGTCAAAGGGCTTTAAAGCAGTGCAATCATTTTGAAATTTTTATCATTTACTTGTTATGCTTCATTAAGTACTTATACAAAATTTTATTAAAATAAAACCATTTAAACTGGGTGTTCGGATTTATATGTCACTTAGTATATCATCAAGAGACTCGGGTATTGACTTATGGAACTTTTTATGGCGGAGGAATACATAACAATTAAACAAGGTTCACTCTTAAAAACAATTGCAACATTGCATACGATTTTTCCTGCTTCTGTTCCAATAGTTAATTCAATAATTACCTAACTACATATTAATTAAATAAGGGCCCTCATAATACATGACCCTAAAAATCTGTATTACAAACGATGTCAAGTAGGTTGACTCTGCATCTTACTTGAAGTTGCATGAAATTTGTTTTCGTCGAATTTTCATAGTTCAGTCATTATCGTCAAGGGAATCGCTCGAAATACTGAACCGGCGCTCAAATCAGAAGTTGTTTAGCGGAAAATTGATCACTATTGATCAATTAGTAATTTTTGAAGGCCTTAAAAAAGCAGTATTAGCGGAAAATAATGTTTCCTTTTACATAAAAAATCTTATGCTAACAAAATTCTATGTCGACTCATAAATTCAATGAAACCTTAACTGTACTAGATGATATTCATAATGCCTAGAGTTGTTCGCAAATTGTCAAATCCCAATGATCGTAAGGTGGGTCTAGGAGACAACGCATTATGCTTAGGCTACAATACGCAGTTTAGATAAAAGACAAAACTTATATTCTGATAAACAACCGCTCTTCAACTGTCACCAGCGTCGGTCTGTACGAACTTTGATTCGCAGATGTTCAGACTGATTTTTTCACGACAAGTTCGATACACCATTTATATGAATTTATAAATGATAAGTTGTGGCCAAACAGACAGATAGTACCTTTATAACTAATTTCCAGTGTACCTTACCGACAGCCAACCGGCTTTGGAAATATATATTGATTATACACTAGATTCTAGTCGGTAATTCAAAAACCAAGAAAACTAAATTCGAAAATTTGAGCTGGTACGTTTCAAAGTCTTGGTTCTTTGAAATGTACTTACGCCGAAAGCGAAAGATGAGTTTTCTATATTTTTTATATTAATTTCGTATCCTGAATTTCCAATTTTTTATTTATGATTTTCTGCATAACTCCTATAGCTTACTAATTATAGTACGGTGGACCCCCGATAATCCGGCCCCTGTCTAATCCGGCGCCCCCTGTAATCCGACATGTCTTTGAATATGTATTACATACATACGTATTTGACAATCTTCGCTAATGTAGATCACGCAGGTTTGAACAGGTTACAACTTGTACGCGCCACCGCTATCGTGCTCGACGCGTAAGCATTGTTTTACTTAGTTTGAATTTGTCTACTGGTGATAGCGGTACGGCCTAGCGTGCGTTCATTGTTTACTATTTATTGATTGTGTATTAAGTATAGTACCTAGTAATGTCATCACAAACTCAGAAGCGAAAGCACAAAACATTGACAATTAAAGAAAAATGTGATATTTTAGACCGCTTACATCGCAATGAAACTTTCAGTAGTTTAGCAAGTGAATACGGCGTAGGCCGATCTACAATTTATGATATTAAAAGAAACCACGAGAACATCAAGAAGTTCGTGTCGACTTCTGACTGCGGGCCAGGCAAGAGACAGACACTCGAAATAACAAAAAAAGATGATTTTGTGGCCAGCAAAGAATGGCTAGAACGTTTTAAAAGTCGGCATGGCATACGTTTAATGACTATTTCAGGAGATAGACTTTCTAACGATGCCACCTGCATAGATTTTTGCAAAAGGTGAACGATTTAAATCTTGACCCGTCACAGGTGTACAATGCAGACGAATCAGGGCTTGTGATACCTAACAAAACTTTCGTTTCTTGTAACGAAAAATCCGTACCTGGACGAAAAGTAAGTAAAGAGCGTGTAACCATACTACCATGTACTAACGCTGCAGACACACTCGCGCTTAAGATGGTTGGTCATTGGGAAATCTAATAAACCACGGGCATTCAAAAACATTGATTTACCTGTACACTATTACGGACAAAAAAGTGCATGGATGACAAAAGACCTTTTCAAAAAGTGGTTTGATGAATGCTTCGTACCTTAAATTAGAAAATGGTTAAAAGATCATAATTTTCCTCAAAAAGCGTTGTTGCTTCTTGATAACGCTCCCGGTCATCCGTCTGAAGAAGAACTAACAACTGAGGATAAATGCATCACTGCTATGTTTATTCCGCCAAATTGCACTGCACTGATTCAACCAATCGACCAGAATATTATTCAGTTTGTCAAGCAAGACTATAAGAAAAACCTACTTCTGAGAGCCGTATCAAAAGACCAACCAATAGAAAAAACTTTAAAAGAATTTAATATGAAAGACTTGGTTTTTGCTCTTTGTCAGTCGTAGAATGCGTTACCGTCATCAATTATTAAATCGTCTTCGAAAAAGTTATGGCCAGATATAGTCACCACTCCTCGCAACGTTCCACAAATCAGTGTTACTTCGGAAGTTATAGAACAAGTCGCTACTGAAACACAGATAAGTCCGGAAGATTTGGAAATCTGGTTCCGTGGAATGGATAAAGATGAAAATGTTTTTCATGAAATGTCTGAAGAAGAGATTATAAAAGAGGTTTCTAATTATACAACAAACAATCAGGAAAATAACGACGACGTGATTGCAACTGCTCCACAAGTCACAGCACAAGACGCAATTAACGCCTTAGAGCTAGGTTTACAATGGGCTGAAGAGAACGGTACATCCTACAACGAACTTTTACTTTTGAGAAGACTGAGGGACAAAGCTCTGATCTCGCATTATAACAACCTTAAACAAACAAAAAATTGTTGAATATTTCCAAGCTTCATAATTTGATAAATTCATTAATGATTTTGATTAATTATTCTTGATTATTTTGGTACATATGTATGTGCATTTATGCTTAATTTATAATAAAACGTAAGCTCTCTATTGTTATTTAATTTACTAAATTCGACATACATAAGCTATGTATGATTTGTACTTCAAAGTACATACCTGTACATATACATAACATATATAATCTTACCATTGGATATGTAATTTGTCGGATTACAAGGTACTCTTTTGTAAAAAATTCCGGACTATAGTCCGATCTTAGGCAGTGCTCTATAATCCGACAAATTCGATAGTCCGACACTGCCCTGCAAAATGTTTGTCGGATTACCGGAGGTCCCTGTATATTGAAACATTGTCTTGAGGATATTTTTAAAGGTGCAGTTCTTGACTACAACTCTTTTTTTTATGGGTGCGAAATACTTCTCATACCGCGTGATTTTTGCGTCTGTAGCAATGTAGCTATCAATATTAAGTTCGTTGAAATAATCTGTCACGCCGCCTGCCCTTGTAGAAATTCGTCGCATCCATGGAATAAAAACAAACAAACAGAACAAACACTCGCATCTGCAAACCACCCGGCGAACGCCGAGGGAAACCAAATTCATAATTCGAAGAAAATAGATAATAGAACCTGATGCTATAAAGTTAATGTAGCCGACCAAGTTATCATTTTAAATTCATTGAAATAAAGATAAACATAAAAACTAAGGACGGAACAAACACTCGCATCTGCAAACCACCCAGCGAACGCCGAGGGAAACCAAATTCATAATTCGAAGAAATAGATAATTGAACCGGATGTTATAAAGTTGGGCCTTTTCAAATATGCTGGGACAAAAACATGGTTTGGAGATGTATTCTGAAATAACATTTGGATGCTATACCCATAAAGCTTACAACCGAAGGAACTCAGTTAAACTTGAAACTCAACCATTTGGGTAGCAAATGTCAGAAGCTACCCCGGGCGCTGAACGGTCAAGCGTCAGAGGCGTATCATGGAATATCTAAGACTTCCGAAGGCTAGCATATTACTAAGTTGTCACGATTGTGGGAAAATATGATGAAAAAAGAGGAGGCAAACAGCTAGGTTTTAGTAGAATTTTCCCCTAGCTGATAGGAGAAGGTGCGCCAGACTGGAAACGATTCTACCTTCTGTCAACGTACGCGTTGACAGATGCGGCTTCAATAATTTCAATGGATTGGGAATTCCTACAATGCTGAGGCCACAGTTCGAGATGTCCTCTTAAATAATTATACAATTTTTTTACATAGCATTTAGGTGAAACTAACGGTGACTTTCTTCTGGAATTTTAACATATTTTAACAAGATTAGCTTTGTTGGAACTACGCAGTCTTTCGTTAGTTTCACCTGCCCCTCTCAATGATAATTTCCAAGCCGCATCTGTCAACGCGTACGTTGACAGAAGGTAGAATCGTTTCCAGTCTGGCGCACCTTCTCCTATCAGCTAGGGGAAAATTCTACTAAAACCTAGCTGTTTGCCTCCTCTTTTTTCATCATATTTTCCCACAATCGTGACAACTTAGTAATATGCTAGCCTTCGGAAGTCTTAGATATTCCATGATACGCCTCTGACGCTTGACCGTTCAGCGCCCGGGGTAGCTTCTGACATTTGCTACCCAAATGGTTGAGTTTCAAGTTTAACTGAGTTCCTTCGGTTGTAAGCTTTATGGGTATAGCATCCAAATGTTATTTCAGAATACATCTCCAAACCATGTTTTTGTCCCAGCATATTTGAAAAGGCCCAACTTTATAACATCCGGTTCAATTATCTATTTCTTCGAATTATGAATTTGGTTTCCCTCGGCGTTCGCTGGGTGGTTTGCAGATGCGAGTGTTTGTTCCGTCCTTAGTTTTTATGTTTATCTTTATTTCAATGAATTTAAAATGATAACTTGGTCGGCTACATTAACTTTATAGCATCCGGTTCTATTATCTATTTTCTTCGAATTATGAATTTGGTTTCCCTCGGCGTTCGCCGGGTGGTTTGCAGATGCGAGTGTTTGTTCTGTTTGTTTGTTTTTATTCCATGGATGCGACGAATTTCTACAAGGGCAGGCGGCGTGACAGATTATTTCAACGAACTTAATATTGATAGCTACATTGCTACACGTCTGATCTCAAATTTTTATTATTAATTTAAGACGTTTCACCTTCTCAGATCACCATGCTGCTTATCTTCGTCCTAATTGCCGTAGCAACTATGGTATCATGTGCCCCAGCAACCACTGAACGGCCAGCAATTTCAGATGAGGCACTAGAAAACACTTTAAAAGATAAGAGATACATGTTGAGGCAGTTAAAATGTGCTCTAGGTGAAGCACCTTGCGACCCTGTTGGGAGAAGACTGAAAAGTAAGTATATGCAACTCCACTTTGGTTCTTCCCCTAATAGCACAAATACGTTCCAAAGATGTCCCCGAAATGACCCCGTGCGACCTGGGCAACGTTCCCAGTTTGTCGCTTAAAGTTGCAAGACGCTCCAAAAATGTCCCTAGAACTAATTTTGTCACGAAAAAATCGGAAACAAAGTTAGTCACCGCTGGACGTTCCAGGAACTTATGAAAACAAGTATTTTAGAGTCATATCTTTGGAACATTTTATTCTTCTCATTAGAAGTGAAACATTATTTTAAGGCAATATTGGCCAAACCAAGGTTATGCATCTTAACTTCGTGCCACGTAATTAAATTTCTGGATATCTGCAAATTTAACAGAAAACATTACTGTAACAAAAATTATCTAAACTTGACTCATGTAGACTTTAAATATAATAGCTGATCATACGAAATTTTAAGATCTTTCCGCAAAGAAAACTAGGCATTTATGGGAGATCAATATTAATAAGCCTCATTGTTCCAAATTTAGAATATGTTAGAAGCGCCTCCTCTTTACTCGTGTTTGTAATCAGTTGATTTTGTTTTAGGTTTAGCGCCACTTGTTTTGCAAGGCTCGTGTGGGCAGTGCACTCCACAAGAGCAAAGGCAAATCCGAAAAGTGTTGAGTTACATGCAAGTCAACTTCCCCAAAGAATGGAATAAGATACTGAAACAGTACTCGGGCTGAGAAACAACCACAATACATCTAAAATGGGAGTACTTTATGATGTAAATAATTAGTCATTTTTGCTTATTGTGATAGAATGTAATAAATTAAGCTACTAAAAAACTTATGACCTTTTGATTTAGACCTGGTGAATCCACAAATACACTTTGGTTATCTTTGGTTTTATGAGCAAATCAATTTTCAAGCAAGCCTAAGCAACTCACTACCATTTTACAGCGTCGTATGCGTGAACTTTCATGTCTTGTATCACGAAATGTTTGACTATTGTCTTACGCGAACAAAGCCAAAAAATGATTGAGAGTTGGTTAGGGTAACAAACCTAGGATATAGTGCGACATCTGTTACTCAATGTTAGGACCATCAACAGCTTCCATGTACAATAAACAGATTACATTCCCTCTCTCAATTCTTCTGTAGTAATGGTATACCGCCAGAGTGCAGCACTAACGTTTTCAACCAAAGGCGGCGCAAAATATAAGCCAGGAGGTAATCGGCCACAGATATGGAAGTCTGTGATGTAGGCTGCTCTAGCTTATGGAAGTAATGGTGCTTTGGCCCGAGTAAAGCTAACATGACCACGCAAGACAAGTATTGAAATATACTCTACTAGACTCTAGTAGCGAAATTTTTCTCAAAATCGTACACCGCTTGAAAAATGCAAATGAAGATTGAAAAACTGGCGCTTTGACGTACTATTTGATGCCGTCGTTACCCCGGGATAGACATACATTTTGGCAGTTGACCTTGTCATACCTGTCACGTAGTATGCTGCGTTGCCAGCTCATCGGACAAGTTTCCAGCATCTGCTATTTTGCTAGAATTTTAAATAAAAAAGAAACTTTGAATAAAACATTGAGGGATACCAATAAAGGTATATAAAATTTGAGGCGTAGCAGTGTTTGCCAACTAACTAAAAAAAGCTGTTATTTACATTTTGCGTCGCCGGTCAACGAAAACATCGAGTCGCTTCGGAGGCAGACGCGTGGAGTGGGAGCTGGAAAGGGGCGTGGCTATCCTACCCGGCCGTACCGTATCGCCACAGTGAGCTTCAGCACTCGAACGCTTCAGTCTCTCTGCAATTGTCGGTGTAGCGGAATGTCTACGCGTTCACAACTCCGTACAGAGCTCTATTCGGTGTAGCTACTTTTTTTCAGTAGTGGTGTTCACTATAGGGTTCTCAAATGTCTCTCAGAGGTGCCTTGGTGTTGTGACGTGGGTGTCAAGTATCTCCAAAGTGGAAATTAGGTCTACTTGCAACTCGTCTGAGGGAAACAGGAAACTAGGTGAGCCGTGGATCTCATCTACTTGTGTGTTAGGGTTGACATCCTATGTTTTTTTAAATAGATTGCGCACATTGCATACACTGAGAAATTAGTCATATACTGAGGTATTTGGGTACAACTAAAATTTGGACAATTTTTTTATGTCTGACTTTATTTTAATAAATGTCAAAAACCAATGGCACTATTTAGGCACTACATGATGGTGTTTTTAAAAAAGTGCTACACTGTATCTAATACTTATTCTACGACTTCAACGATGTATCACGTTACATTTGTTTTTCAGTTATAAACAAAGGTATTTTTTCTACTTTTTCATTATATTTAAGTAGGCGTTACAAACAAATGCTTGATGTAAGATTGTGATTACTGAGTTTAACTTAGTCTGATCCTTATCTTGGCCACCCTGTAATACATTATTATAAAAAGAAATTCACAGAAACGTGCACTAATCTAACGTTCTTGTAAGTATTCGTATGTACTTACATTCATTTCTGAAAAATCTCACAACTATTAGCAAGGCCTCCAACAAAAGGTCCAAGGAATTGGTGATAGCAGAGGTAGCAAAATCGTCCGATGAGTTGGCAACGCCGCAATCCAGGTGACAAGATCAACTTTTAGAACATATGTCTATCCCGGGGTAACGGCGGACTCTTTTAGAACGTTAATGTGGCAGTTTTCCAATATTCATTTGCATATTTTTAAGTTTTGTGCAACAATTTCGAGAAAAAATTAGCTACGGATAGTCTAGTAGAGTATATTTCAATAGTTGTCTTGCGTGGCCATGTTATCTTCACTAGGGCCGATGTTTTTATTGCGCATCATGATTAGCAAATCGGCAATATTCAACTTGCAGTGAATCTCGCAATTATATCTGATCCTGAGCAGATGACTCTTACGCGCCGCCGCTGATCACTGTCATTCGTAGCTGTCAGTTTAGACTTTTTAGGTTATGTCACAGATGTCAGTGAATTTGTAGATGTAGATCTGCTATCTCTGTTTTCAAGCCAGGTTTACGTAGGTGCGAGTGAAAGAGCTTGTGCATGTTTAGAACACAAACCAATTAAAAACATCTGTTTATTAGAAGGAGAGTGGCGGAAAATTGGGCAAATACATTGGCAAAACATTACATTTTGCGACAACTATTCACTTTAAAAAAGGACGATGATATATTCTAGAAAGTGACGAAGAAAATGGGCTGCGTTTTTTATGCGAAGGAGGTTGTCAATCAATACCAGCCTTGAAATTGTCCAAAATGTCCAGCCAAGAAGGTGAGAACTCCAGAAGACATTGGCAAGGCGACGATGAGAAACCATTGAAAAAAGCAAAATATATGTGGCAGGTAAAAGGGAAGCAGCATTTAAAGGAGAATGATAACTCTGACGATTCTATAATGGACAATGGCCCTAGCACAACTAGTAATCCAGAACCAAGCACAAGTTCAAGTCAAGACTACATATCATTTGGTAACAATGGAAACATGCCAAACCTACCAGAAACCAGAGTCTTGGTACCTTATTATCAAGATAACTTGGATGTTCACTTTAGGAATCTTCAGACCTCATGGGAGGTAAGGCAAATGGCAAGATGTCTGCTAGACAATACAATCAACAGTTTTGTGGATGACTTCAGAAGTGAACCTATGAATGCTGATCATAATCACCCGTTTGAGGGATTTGATTTCGATTCTCATGACTATGTATGTGAGAAGTGCAATAATGATGGGCAAGTAGAAGACGATGCGATACTGATGGCGATACAGGCACATGGGCTGAGAGGGAATGCAGGTGAGGAAAATCCAGGGATTGCAGAGTCTACACAAGATAACATTCAGAATATGCAGGTAAGTAGGTCATGTAGTCTTATGAATCGACTAAACCCATGGCATCACCTGCATGAAAGTAGTGTAAAGTATAGGGTCAAGTGGTCCAAAAATGAGACAGCCGAAATTTCGGTCAAAAACAAGACATTCAATTTTTCCCAATGCAAAAAAACAATAACATTGTAAAAAATACGTTACAAATTACTTCCACATATATACATTTGAAATATGTAATGAATAATAAATAAACGTAAACACAAACATCGATAAAAAACTATCGCATCTGATTGTGCATTTTGCTTAAAAAATCTTTTAAATTGTATTTACAAACTTTTCCTGTTGCGCGGCTGTACGTGATCGTGAGACTCCGCAAGTATCGCGTTTTCAGAATAACAAATTGCTATGATATTATATATCGAATTTAGTCTACTTTGATCTGTTGGCAAGCAGGCCCAGGTGCAAAAACGAGGCACCACAAAGTTTAAAAACAAGACACCTGCCAGGTAAAAAACAAGACAGCTTTTATACCATTGATAATAATGCCAAAGGTTTACGTTCCCAAAAAGCGCCCCTACGACAAAAAGAACATGGAAACAGCCCTAAAACTAATAAATAATGGCACTTTATCTGCTCTTTCGAGAAGATGTACTTGTTCACTTGGTAAACAGGGAAGAAAAACTTCTCTACCAAAGAAATGGAAGTAGACTTAAGTGATAAGATAAAAATTATGGCAAAATGGGGGTTTGCTCTCACTAAACCAGAGATACAAACAATTAAGCAAGGAAAGCCTGGGAAAGATTGGTTTAAAAATTTTTGTAAGCGCATTAGACTAAGTCCAAAAATCGCAAGTTTACTACGTGGCACAAATCCTTAAAATATTTGAAAGCGATGTATAAGTAAAATATCTGAGGCACAAAGGATTTAAATTGATTTTTCCGGCCATTGAGGAAAAGTACTTCATCAACAAAAGTGACATAGAAATGAAACTTCCCCAGCCAGAAATAGAAAGTAAGACCTGTTGTATCTCTCAGCAATATTGGTTTCCTATCGACTTTGAAAAATACGTCGTTCAATAATATGTAGTACAAAATACGTTAGAATAAGAATAAGTTTTCTACTTTGGCTCTTAAAATCCTATTGAAAATCTTGTTTTACCCCTTTATTGAATTAAGTATGGTTTATTTAACTTGTTTTTGGATTTGTTTTCTTTAACAACGTTGTCACAATTTAAAACCTAACTATGTTATTTCACTTAATAAACGCTTTCAAACCCTTGCAGTGTGTCTCGTTTTTATTCCACAGGGTCTCATATTTTGCCACATTGATGTAAAATGACTAAAAGGCCAGAAAATACAGTGTCTTGTTTTTAACCTCTCACTGTCTCATTTTTAGCGAAAATAGTGGTTAAAAACGAGACACGGCTTTTTAACAAAAACGCCCTTCATTTACGAATATTATGAACTTTTTTTAACGTGAGGTATACTACAGGGCAATATAACAAAGTCCGGTTTTTTGTTGACAAAAAATTAAAAGATTTAAAAATCGTCTCGTTTTTGTACCACTTGACCCTAGGTCATTCATTTTGGATTAGTATCAAGGAGATGGGTTTCAGAGACAGAAATGAGATAATCAAGGTTGCTTTGGTAGTGGAGATCTTCTTATTCAAAACTTTAATCCAACAATAAGTTAATATTGGATATGTAATCTTAACACATCCTTATCTAAATCTATTTATTTACAGTATTATACTGGAAGTAAAACAAAATACCAAACACATTGGCTTCTGCACTGGGCACCTTATGTGAATCAGGCCATTTGAGCTGTACGCTGTGAAATACAAATTTCAAGGTCATTTCCTGCAATGAAAAATTGCCTATGTGCTACCCCAGACTGTAACCTATCTCTGTAACAAATTTTATCCAGATCCCTCCAGCCATTTTGGTGTGGTTGAGTAGAAAACTTTCACACTTTCTCGTTTATAAGATTAGTAGGGATGCATAGAGGCAAAATAGTGTTTTTAGAGGTTCACACCCATTGATTTGTGTTGCGCGAAAATATCAATTAACAATGTTACATAATGAAGTAAGAAAGAGACAGCTGTATATCAAGCATTAGAGATTTTTTCGCCAAGATCCTGTAGTGAACCCGAGCGGAAACCGATGGAGTTTCCCCTTCCTCTCGAAGTTTTGACAGTTTCAAGTTACACCGGGAGTGGTTAGATGGCGCATGTTGCGCAAAATGTTAGCTTTAAGCTCCTTGATAAACTTAGCTGCCTTGTTTAAATTGGAAATGAAAACACGGTTTTTTGTGCAATGTATATTGTGAGGTTCTTGGATTTTCGGCCACACTTTCGATAACAATAGCAATATTGTGATTTTTGCACCAAATTCTAAACTGTCCTCTCACAAGGCCGATTTTGTGTTCCAAAAAATTCACGTAAAGCACGAAATGTATTCTTCCTTGGTCGGCCGTTTTCATTATAGGCTTGGATAATTTTAACACGTTGTTCGGTCGCATATTGCTTCAAGACTGTTTTGTTTATATTTTGACGTTAGAAATGGCACGTTGTCGTTGACAAATTCAGTAGCGTTTCCAAAAAAAAATTATTTGTAATGTGGAAACTCAATTTGAATCACCCATTATATCAATAAAATCAAGCATTTGATATGACAAGTGCGGTTCATATATTAAGTGACATATAAATCCGAACACCCAGTTTAAATGGTTTTATTTCAATAAAATTTTGTATAAGTACTGAATGAAGCATAATAAGTAAATGATAAAAATTTCAAAATGATTGCACTGCTTTAAAGCCCTTTGACCTTTAATAATGTGTGGATGCACCCTGATGTGCTACGCATTCTCCAACGCGCCTAGGCATGTTTCTGATCAGGTGGTCAATGTCCTCCTGTGGTATCTCATTCTAGGCAACCACCAACTCCTCTCGAAGTGCTTCTAGAGTCTGAGGAGGACGTTGCAAATTGAGCAATCTCCTACCCATCATATCCCACACGTGCTCAATTGGGGATAAGTCGGGAGATCTTGGTGGCCATGGTAACAATGTGACATCATTATGTTGAAAGAAGTCTATTGTGACTCTTGCAACATGTGGTCGGGCATTATCTTGTTGGAAAGTTGGATCTGCCAGGGTGTCAAGATAGGGTAAAAGATGAGGTACTACAACTTCGTGGATATAACGCTGCGCGTTCATGTTACCTCTGATGAAGATTAAAGATGACCTGGAACCATAAGCTATAGCACCCCAAACCATAACTCCAACAGTGTGATGAACATGTCTTCAACAAAAAACTGTGGATTCCTCCTTTCACCACGTCGCCTTCTAACCCTGGCACGACCATCGTGCATGCCTAAACAAAATCGAGACTCGTCACTAAAGACAATACTGTTCCATTCCTGATCCCAGAGTGACCGTTGTCTGCACCACTCAAGGCGATTACGTCGGTGTTCTCGAGTTAAAGGGAGGACCCAGTGTGGCCGGTATGAAAACAAGCCAAAACTTCTCATTCGTCGGTGAACACTTCGCATGCCAATAGGTCTTCCGTGTTCTGCAAACCATTCATTTGCAATGGACCTGGTAGTGGAGAAACGGTCCCTTAAGGCCAATAATCTTAGGCGGTGATCTTCACGGTCTGTTGTTCTACGGCGGCGTCCAGTGCCCCTTGCTCTTTGCGTACGGCCTTCTCGAAGCCATGCCTGACAACACCTAACCACAGTGTCTACACTTCTTTGCACTCTAACTGCAATTGCCCGAAAAGAAAGTCCAGCTTCCCGAAGTCCCACTATACGGCCCCTATCAAACTCACTAAGTTGACGAAATCGTACAGGTCTCCGTACTCTAGGCATCGTAACCGATCGTAAAGGATGTCAAGAACCAAAATCCGCCAACGTTGATTCTTTATTGCGGCTGAAATATTCATTTTTAGAGCGTTAGTGAATTAAAAAAAGCAGTATAAAAACCGGAATGTCCAACTGATAAGGCTGAAAATTTTTTCACTTGTTATTTGTTATTTACAGTAAGATAAATACATTCACCAACTTTTATTAAAATAAAACCATTTAAACTGGGTGTTCGGATTTATATGTCACTTAGTATATATCTTCGATGACCTTGTCCCTCCCATTTAAAATCAGGTGGACGTTTTCCTCCATTTATGATTTAATAATTTAACTCAATTTTCAGCACTGCAAAGACAAATTATCAATTCGGATGCCTGTTTTTTAAATGACATTGACATAAGACCTGTCACCCGCTAATACCTCATAGACGTTAGGCGGGTACCCGTACCACGTGATTTTTTGACACTCGGTCGACGTCACACCCGTCTTCCCCCTATTCCCGTTCTTCGCGAAAATATGAGTATCAGTTCCCTTATTGTCGCACGTCTATTTTATGTCAACCTGCCAGTACAAGAAAATAAATATTCTCATTTCTGGCAGATGCTTCCATAGTAAAAAAGTAGGTTCACATTTTAAGTACATAGAATGGAAAAATTATGTTATGCTGGTAACATTGCTTTTTTGGGTTACTCCTCATCAAAACTGTTTTATCACTGTTTTTGCGCATTAGATACTGACCTTGACAACAAACCTATATAAATTATAGTTTGAAATACAAAAAAAAGGTTCAATAGCATATCAAACTAATAAGTAGAAAATAAAATATAGGAGAGTTTGTGTTACTGCAATAGAAAGACCAACACTCAAATAATATGTATTAAATGAATTATTTTTTAGTTGCTATTGACAAAATTGGAATCATTATAATTGATTTACTTTAAAACTATAGTTTTTTTTTCTAAACTTTTAGTCACAAAACGACAAATTTCTATTTTTTTATATTTCTCATCTAATAGATATCTGTAATGGTTCAGTTTCTGACCAATACTTATCCATTATTACTATCAAAGCTTTTGTACAATCTGAGAACACCTACAAATGAGATTTTCAAATGTCTTATTTTTCAGGCTGAACTAAAGCAGAACAATGCTTTGCATGGTCGAGGACAAGAGGACATGATCCAGGATTCTTCAGGCTTCCTGGATGCAGCTGTGTCAGCAGCAATCCAGGAAAAAGGATTAACATATGGATATTGAAAGCTGAAAGACTGTCAATTTATTGATTTAGCTTGTTTTATTTTTATACCCACATAAACATAAAAAAGTATTGTAGTAGTTTTTAGTTATGATTTTATGTAAAAATTGAATTAAAGTAATATAGACTTTTTATAGATATTGTAAACATTCACATTTTTTTGCGACCCCCCCCCTCCCCCTCCCCAAAATCTGGTTTAAATTTTCAAACAGTTTTGTAGAATTTTAGAAATTATAAAGATTATTATACAAATGTCTATCCTCACTGTGTATCAAAATGTTATTTTAGGTTTTATTTAATATAATGATTTTTTTCTGTTTTTATAACTTAAATACGCAAAAGTTTAGAGTGCGCATGTTTTTTTCAGTTGGAATACTCAATAAGCATTCATACTAAAAATGGATCCAAATATATTGTTTCCATCCATTATTTAATGCATTTTCTGAAGAAAAAAAACAACAACGTATTTAAAGTTGCTACATTTACGGCAACTCATATGTCAAAAGATTTTTTTTATGTCTGATACCGACAGAACGTGGCCATCAGGCTTCTCAAACTAATTGTGCCAGGAAATAAAATTTATTTGCATCACGCCTAGCCCAAGCCGGAAACGGGGAAAAACTTACAGCCTTGGGGCGGCATATTACGTTTGAATTGTCATTTTGGAGGCCAAGTTTTGGGCCTCATGTGGTTCATAAGAAAAGACACTCATCATTAAACTTAATGGAGGTAAAATATTTTGACAAACAGATATTTTTAAGAAGCTTAAATAAATTTCTGCAAAAAATAAAACAATAGAATTGGTCTCTACACGTTTATTACTCACTTGCACAAAAATATACCTCTTCATACCTTAAATTACAATAAATATTTCTCACTTGACACCCATATGTTGTACAGCAGTTTCCACGGAGGGCAACACTTTAATTTATAGGAGGTTATACACTAAAAGACATCTTAACCTTTAGATGAGTAATGAATTCATGTGAAAACGAAATCACCTTCAACATTGACATCCCATGGCGGTTGGAACATCTCAGCTGGCAGATTCACACAGTGGGTCGATTTGAAGTCTTTCATATATTTCTTTGCCTGCAAAAATTGGAGAGTCAAAGTAAACTTAAAGTCTTATTCTAGAGCTTGAAACTAGATTTTAGCATAACACAACCCACTTATAAAACGATTATACCAACATTCCCAAAAATATATCAGGCTCTTGAGAGGCATGTACACAGGATTGTTTGGAATGAGGTGCCATAATCAAAAATCAATCATCTCATTTTGTCGATGCCTAGACGTATACAGGGCTGTATTCCGCTGCGGTGCCGCGCAACACATTTTTTTTTATTATTAATTGTCAACAAAATTTCGTGCAAATGCTATCGCTTCATGCTTGACAAAAAATCAAGTTGAAAAAATTACTTTTTCTACATTTCTGTCACTGAGTATATAATAATTCTGAACAAAGGAAACTGAAAAAACTACAAAAACTGAGTTTTAGGGAGTTCTGTATTTCTTTCTTGTTAATTGAGGAAAACCTTTGCAATCACAATACTTCATTTGCTTATGTCTCAGAATTAAATTTTCATAATACAGTAAAACTCACCAAAAACAGTGCCATTCGAGATTTATCCATATCCCCAAATTCTTCACCAATTTTCATAGGATAGCTTTTTGAGAATTCGGAAATATACGACTGAAGCAGCGACTGACAGTAGTTGTCATCCACTCCATATTTTCGGAAAAACTCATCTGAAAATAGTATAAATATTAGTGTCATTGGTAAACATAATATTGTCTGAAAGCCTCACAAATGAGCAAATTTATATTGTGGACTTACTATAAGTAAGAATTTTTCGTTTTGTTTTTTTAATGTGTCGATTTTGATATCCCAAAATACATACCTTGCGATGCTCCCGTGACAGCTAGATAATCTTTCAAAAGCTGCGTTTGGGTTCTGTCTAAAATACATGGATAGCGAAACATTAGCAACTTCATCAGTAAGTGATTGCCGCGGTTTGAAGACAAGTCATGCTCCCTAGAAAGAAAACATTTGATTACAATAAAAAAACAATCTGAAAACAGCTGCAATTCACCTTAAACATATAACCTCATCTTCTGTTCGCCTGATGATGAATACCGGTCCCGGATACTTAACCAGGTTCTCAATAATGTTCAGATTAACGTGCTCTCTTATTGCTACTTCTACAATGGGCCCCCACCACCTAGGCATGTGATTAACAGCTAGAGGCAATACGTCGTCAAATGTAGCATCTAAAACCTAGAGAACATAGGTTTAAATTCCAATACCAACACACCAAGGTTAACATTATTCATAATATGACAATTGGATTGAATATATAACATACAAGTCCTTTGATATCTGGATAGCTCATAGCTGCCCATGTCGACGTGTATCCGCCAATACTCCATCCAAAAAGTATTATGTTTTCTGGCTTATATCCTAATTTGTTTATGGCAAACTGCATTACAGCATCTATCGCGTTTTTTTCTTGTGGCGGATACGGTCTTCCCTAAAACAAGATTGTATAACTATCAGTATCCTCATTAAGTCGCAAAACTGTTACAATTCAAAAATAGACAAACTCGTGAAATTCACCTACAAATTTAAGGTATGCTCTTTCAATTACAGCTGAACAGTAGCATTTTTTATCTTAAAACTATAGATATATGTATTCATTGGTTTCGAAAGTGGAGACGTTAACGCGGCGGCCATGATGTCTAACCACAGCACCATCGTATTTGCTATGCTGAAGTCGCGATCATAGCAACCGCCCTAGCACTAGTAGCTACGGCTTCCTAGCAACTTTAAGACCTGTAGCGAGATATGCAGTTCCGAATCGGCCAGTGTCAGTTCGCTGTCTTCTGCTTCCTTCAGTAAGCAAAAGATGAGCAGTGTGAAGAACCAAACATTGGAACTGCGACATGGCGGCAGTGTTGCCGCTTTCATCCCGCAGCTTCACGTTGAAGTCTTTGTTTTTTTACTAGACATCAACCTGACAAGTAAAAATCACCCCAAAACCCTCCTCAGAATTATTTCTAGGATTTCAAATTCTCAGAATGTTCAACAACAAAAAATGAAATTCTAAACTCGAGCCTCAGCATTAGAGGTAACTACTTTCATAAGCAAAAATTTCTTGTTTGTGTATTGAAAAAACAAATGAGTTATGTGAGAACCTAGGATGCATATTTTACATAGGAATATATGGGGGTGCTAGGGTGCCTCAACACTGCATGTTTGAAGTCCATATAACAGACACTCAGAGACAGGAAATAGTGTCATGAATATGTCTAGAGCTAATATACACCACAATATAAAAATATAACATAAAATGAAATCTTACTGTGCTCCCTCCAAACCCAGGATGGTTCCAGCCCAAGACTGAATATCCTGCTTCTATAGGTGTGATGGCTATACCAATCTCATAAAAACCTGCATTGCCCTCGCAACAAACTACCAAAGTATTACCATTCGTAGTATTGCCTCTTCTGCTTATATACAGAGCATCTATTTCGTTTTTGTCTACTGTCTCAATCTTGAATCTTTCACCATGGTATAATTCTACTAAGCGAGACCTTCCTTGCAACAAGCTTTGCTCTAAAAGATATATAGCCCTTTATTATGTACCATTTTTAAAATCAAATGTTTGGATCCAAGACTCTAATATGTAAAAAGAAAATGTTTTTTTACCTAATACCATCTGCAGAATTCCTATTGTTCCAGGATATATCAGCCTTATTCCAAAGGTATGAATTGCAAAATATGCTATAATTCTATAAGGAATTTGTAGTAAGCACTGAGGGAATGTAAGTTGTTTAGGTACAGAGACTGCCTTAGGATTAGAATCACTGTAATAAATATATACATGTGGATTAACCCAGAACAAACAGATTATTTTAAATATGCAACTCACTAAAAAGATATTGTTCAGTTCAAGAATCAAAAATGAACTAACATTAATTTAATTTTATTTCAATTTTAGAGATATCCTCAAAAAATGACCATGCAACTGATAAGTCTCTTTTATTATTATACAGGGTGTCCGCAAAGTTGGGGTTTCCTTTACACGACGTGTAGATCTTGAAAACATAAGCAATTTTTCTTAGTACCATATACACCAATGTCTTAAGGGAACCGAGATAAAGGGCTCTGCAACATCAAAAATATCTGAATACCGTCCTGTAGCCGCGACATCACGGAGTGGTACAATGTCACTGGCTCAACCCGTCGACAGAACTGGGTCGAGGTCAGTGTGTCAGGTCAGTATGCAACCTTCAACCGACGGTTACGGTCACGCCTGTAGAGGTAATCGCGTAGACGAGAATCCCTCAACAAGCACTAGAGACGTGGCTAGAGAAGTGCAAGTATCAAAAACTAAAGTGTGGCAAACGCTGCGTGAAGAGGGGCTGTATCCGTTTCACGTCCAACGTGTACAAGCCCTTCAACCTGACAATTTTCCAGCAAGAGTGCGGTTTTGTGAGTGGTTGTTGCATCAACATGTCAATAATTCGGACTTTTTGAAGTGCATATTGGTGACAGACGAATCTACATTCACGCGTAATGGGGTGAATAACTTTCGCAACACTCATGTTTGGTCAGTAGAAAATCCGCACGCTGTCCGTCGGGCACATTTTCAACAAACATTTTCGGTGAATGTTTGGGCTGGCATGGTGCGTCTGCTTGGTAGCGCATCAGCTGATTTCATTTTCTGTTGGAGCGGTATGATTTGGGCAGAGACGTACTTAGCCATTCTCGTCAACTGGAGAGTGAGTACTTTATTCTTTATTTTTTTTTACTTGGTCGCCCTCGTTTCACTACACATTACCTTTGTTATTTCAAGGGTAGTTGTTTCTGAAAAGAAAAACCCCAACTTTGCGGACACCCTGTATACTGGCAGAATCAGTTGTAGTGGCTGAGCTTATCTTTCTGTAAACCTGATTGGAATCTAATTTCCCATAAAAATATTGTAGTAATAGTTGC